GATCCAGTCAGATCTGACTTTCTTCAACTTGCAGAACCGGTCGTGTTCCCCACCACAACGTCACGCACCAACAAACTCGGTTGCGCTGAATGGATCCTCTTCTCCTGTCGTGATCCGCTTTCCTTCGCATGGATTTGGACACCAGTGCCCCTTTTGATTTCGCAATCCGACTACTCCACGCGAGCCGCTCTAACCGGCCTTCTCTGATCCTTTTTTAATTCCGTGCGTGGCCGCCTTTGGTTTCGCAATACTGGCACCGATCCAGTTCCTCCACGCGCGAGCCGCTCTGACCGACCTTCTCTGGTCTTTTTTTGGCTCCTCTACACGCATTCGCCTCTATTTTCGTGATACTGGCGCTATAGTACCATGTTGATTTTTGGAATAAAAATATAAACTTGATTTTCTTACACTTTATGTTGTTACATCTGAACTATTTATAGAATTCTTAACCTACTAATAAGGAAATTCTTATTCTAGTAAAATTCTAATTATATCAAATCAACTAATTAAATAATAAACTAAAATAATTAAATAATAAATATCCTAACCAATATTCCCTCAAGTTGGTGCAAAAATATCACACATGCTCAACTTGCAAACCACGTTCTGAGGAGTTGCTTCTATCATGATCTAAAGTAAAAGAGAAAGAATAATGTCCAGTGACTAATCTTACAGGGATAGAACAAAATTTATAACCAGCACCTACAGAGTTAGAAACAGTAGGAATAGGCTAGAAAGGAAAATAAGTTGCAAGTTTGGAATCAGTAACCGGAAACAGACCGGGCCGGCAAGAAAGCACTGGTATCACAAAACCAAAGGTGAACACGTGTGGAGGAATCGAAAAAGGATCAAAATAATAATTTTCTTATCAATAGGTTAAGAATTATATAAATATCTCAGGTGTAACAACATAAAATGCGAGAAAATAAAGTTTGTATTTTTTTCTCTAAAATCAACAATAAGTTCTACCACTAGAAAGTAAAACCTAATGCAACATTTATCTTTTCAAATGCAACTTACAGAAAGCCTCAGGATAGTGAATTTTAGATAATAATAATAATGATAAGAACATTTGACTTTAAAAAGGCAAAACCATAATTGGTAAGTGTAATTTTTCCTAGAAACATCTAACACTTCTAGTGAAAATGACTAGTGGAGAAGCATCAAGGTAATTGGATAAAAAAAAACATAAGGTTTGACTTTAAGAAAGACAAAATAACAAGAGTTGAAACTAAAATTCACCATATATAAAAATAGGGGGTATCAAAAATTTGAGATAATAGACTTGTAAAAAGTTGTTTAACGTACGAAGGTTCAATAAGAAATAAGGTACGAGCACAATACTAAAATTTTGACTTGAAACTTTTGAAATATCACTCCAATTACAGCAATCCCCACATATTTGAAAAGTCAAAAAGGAAGAGCAATATACTTTATGTTGATCGCAGAGACATGAGGAATTTGGTTCCTCTCAAACCATGAACAAATCTAATTTCAATTGGGTTGTCGTTCATGAAACTCTCGTTGAATTTAAAAACTTCTATGAACAAATATTTCAAACATCAATTCTACATACTACTTAGCACGAGTAAAGCTAAATAGTCATGTACTC